ATGCTTTCATCGCGCGATTGGTTCTCGTATTTATCAATAAAAGTGTTGACCACTCGTCGGAAAGTGGGAAGCGATGTCTTCAGTTCATTACATTCATCGCTCAATGACTCAAAATGCATATCATTTACGGGAATGGCTTCGTCTTCGATGACACCTTTCAATTGATCCAATTTGGTGTCCATTTCACTCATATCTGACAGCAATTGTTCTTCAGTTATGGTCTGGTTTTTGGCGTTTCTGTCATTTCGGATGAAATCAAAGTCAATAAACAATGAGTTATAAAAAACAAAGAATGCATTACTTTGTCATCTCTGGCATCGGATGAGACATTGGTGTCCATTGGATGTGTGGCCTCAGGAGCGACAGGTCCTGTGCGATACATTTGGTCACCGATTGACTGAGTTGTTGGATGTGTTGGATGTGTTGACCACCGGTTAAATGACCCCTCGAGTGGTTCAGCGATGAATTGCTTTTCAATGACTTTGACTGTAATTTAAATGACATTTCACTGCAATTAGTGTTGTCTTCAATACAATCCAAATTCACTACTCTTTTGGCGCTTAAACTCAATGCAAATCCAATGCAAACCAGACTTGTATTGCAAACCAAACCTAACTATACTATTAACACCTTATTATTTAATACGACTACTATTTTATCGTAAATAATGTATTCAATCACTTAAACTATATCTTCAAACCATGTGTTCATACAAATGCATTCATCGGGAGTGAATATGATTGCTATGAATCCACAAATTGAGTGCCAAATGCAGTAAAGGGTGTAAACTGTAAGCAATGACTGGACGTCTCGTTTGAGTCGACGCTTCAATACTTGAATTGTTGTGAAAAAGTTGTCAAAAGTTTTTTTTTATTATTATTTATTTATTTTACTCTTCGTTTGAATCGATTGTATTTCAAGCGACACATCGAGTGATCCGATGAACGAGTCGTTGATCTTCGACACGATATCACCGGTGAGACCGCTGTCCATGTGTTTGGTGTGGAAGCGTCCAAATCATGTGTTGTTTCAAACGGCAAATGTCTTCCTCCTGATGGTTCAATACAACAAATGTATACCTAATTTAGTTGTGCCAAAAATGCCGGCCGAGTGTCCCTTCTTGGAGATGGGCCTCAACTCGTTCTCACCCCAGGCGTACGTCTTGTAGTGAATCCACGCCTCTCTCGTCATCTCTTTAATGAAATCCCGTTTGCGTCTCACTTCGGGGTCGGGATCGTCACCACTGGGAAGCACTAGTGGTGTCCAATTATCGTCGGAATCGCTGGTCTTGAGTGTGACATCAGGTGCCAAACCATTGTCATTAGGTTTTGGCAAAACAGCACTCAATTGACTTAAATTATAATTAATTTGTTCATTGATTTTAAGCCTCAGCCGTTGTTTGTCCTCAATCTTGGCTCTGGCGGTGTGCGAGTCGTGACCAGAGATGGGATGCGACGACTCGAGCGGCGGCACTAACCCCAAGAGGTCGGGCCCTAAACTGTCGGCCGGTTTGATATACTTATAGACATTACTGGCCTTAAGTTCGGGCAAAAAGGCCACTCCTATCAGACTAAACGCTATGAAGATTATGATCACTACAACCAACACATACTTCTCGCGGATCCGCAATATAGACCTCGAGGTCGACACACCGTTCACACCATTACCACTCAATTGGTGGCCGTTTCGCGAGTAATGCGATGGCAGTAAACCTCGCGAAGACATTACGAGATTATTGCACACAACTATCACTCAACACGTGTTCATGTCTTCCAGCGTTGGATTCAAAGGCCAAATGTGTCCCAAAATTTTCGCGAGTAATGCGATGGCAGTAAACCTCGCGAAGACATTATCCGAGATTATTGCACACAACTATCACTCAACACGTGTTCATGTCTTCCAGCGTTGGATTCAAAGGCCAAATGTGTCCCAAAAAGTGATCACAACAACTGATTCTCGACTCAAGATTTGTCGTCACAAAAGTGTCACTAATTTGTGTACAAATCACACAAACATTGCTGTCATGTCTCACGTAAACAACGTCTGCAATGCGTGTGCTTTTGGTCCCCATTTCCAAGAGTTGAGGCATTACTAGCGTTGAGACCCAATCTCCGCCCCCTTTAAGCGTCACGTAATGTGTGGTAATATTGCTATCATTTAGTGTTTGTTTTGTTTGCAAAATATTATTCAATTGAATGACGTTTTGAACCAATAATTGGCGTCACTTTCAAAGCCATTCGCTATTCAATGAATTGATTGTATTTTGCAATCAATTCATTCAATGCATCAGTGATTGCATTGAAACACATGCTCTCATCAGCTAATTATTAATTGCATTCATTCATTACAATTGAAGCCTACAATCAATAAAATAGCATATGCTTTACAGTTGACAGTAACATGTTACAAATTGTGTGATGATTTGAGCATGGTGATGCGGCACCGTTTTAACCACTACCATGGTCCATGGTGGTCCAGTATTAAATTTTACTGATACTGTATATTTTAGGTACATTTGATGTGTACCATACCTGATAGTAAATTATCCATTTACCTGGTAATAATGACTAGATTATTGGTGATATATATGAATATGGTAATTTACTGATAATTGAATTGATGACAAGCATTTGTGGTGATATAAGCCCTTTGGTTGTTTGCCATACAAACACGTTATGATAAAATATTTAATGCAAACACATTTAAAATCAATATTCAATTGATTGCAGTTTTACTGTAATATAAAAACAAGAATACATTGAAATGACAATAGAGTGGAAGAATGGATGAGAGTTGCCCTCAATTGCATCGCTATATACTGTATAATGCATTCATTCCTGGAATAGAGTATTGATTTAAAGAGTAAATTCGTTAAACATTATCAATGCTCTCAATTTGTAATTAATGTTATCATATGTTAGCTGAAAGACAGGAATTTTTCTGTATTTGACCTCAAATTATGGCACAATTAAAGGCTTAAACAATGTTTAAAAATACGGTATATTTAAATTAGTTGTTAAATAAAATGATAAGAAAATAATTAAAAAATTGTAAATTATATATAAATAAGATTTGATTCATTAAGTGATTGTAAACATGCGTTAATGAATTGACATGTCGTTCAAACACATGTCTCGGCGTCTGATTCTGTAATTCGTGATAAATTCCAAAAACAATTAGCGTTTGAATCTATAAAATAATATTGAAATAATTTAATGGATGTATTGACTAAAACGGTGAGACAAACCATTGCTATTGATTGGACTTCTTTTGATAAGTTGGTCCATAGCTCGATGTGTGGGTATAATAAGTTTGGTCCGTTCGCCGGCACCCGTCTGTTGATTGCTAACAGAATCAGAGACTAACAGCAACTTTTTGACCACATCTTTGCCCAAAATGTTGTCCAGAAGTGTCTGAAGGTATGGATCACAAGAGATGGAGAGTTTGAGTTTATCCCTATTCCAGACCAAGAGTCGAGATTCCTCTAAAGCCACGATTGACACCTGATATGTCTCATGAGAGCCGACGCCAAACCATTCGGGAGAGTCCAGGAACTGATGGCTGTCTATAATATGAAGAGTCTGACCGCCCCTTATGATGGACACCCGTCCCGACAATAACAGTGTCAGTCTATCGACTCGAGTGCGGCCTTCGATGGCATAGATATCATTAGACTTGAGTGTCTGGATCTCTCGCGTACAGAAGTATATTGACCGCCCCTTATGATGGACACCCGACCCGACAATAACAGTGTCAGTCTATCGACTCGAGTGCGGCCTTCGATGGCATAGATATCATTAGACTTGAGTGTCTGGATCTCTCGCGTACAGAAGTATATCGTTTTAAATGCATTTCGCGATACTCTTAACGGTTGGAACAGATTTCTGTAGACCATCTCAACGTCGTGTGGAAACCTATTAAGAGTTGACATCAAATTAGACGTCAAATCACAGCTCAATCTTATCTCAAACCTAATAAATGGGTGTAATTTCCAAACAATACAAATGACATGAATGGCGTTAATCGCTGTGAAGATGACATTCCAGACAATGATATCTGATTCACACAACACTATCCAACCCCAGAGAGACAGGAATAGACACCCAATGGTGAGACACGAGCGCAGGTATAGGACACCGAAGACACTGTTTGTGGCCAAATAGGCCATCAGGAGGAAGACATTTGCCGTTTGAAACAACACATGATTTGGACGCTTCCACACCAAACACATGGACAGCGGTCTCACCGGTGATATCGTGTCGAAGATCAACGACTCGTTCATCGGATCACTTGATGTGTCACTTGAAGTACAATCGATTCAAACGAAGAGTCAAATAAATAAATAATAATAAAAAAAAAACTTTTGACAACTTTTTCACAACAATTCGCGTATTGAAGCGTCGACTCAAACGAGACGTCCAGTCATTGCTTACAGTTTACACCCTTTACTGCATTTTGCACTCAATTTGTGGATTCATAGCAATCATATTCACTCCCGAGGAATGCATTTGAATGAACACATGGTTTGAAGATATAGTTTAAGTGATTTAATACATTATTTACGATAAAATAGTAGTCGTATTGAATAATAAGGTGTTAATAGTATAGTTAGGTTTGGTTTGCATTGGATTTGCATTGAGTTTAAGCGCCAAAAGAGTAGTGAATTTGGATTATATTGAAGACAACACTAATTGCAGTGAAATGTCATTTAAGTCAAAGTCATTGAAAAGCAATTCATCGCTGAACCACTCGAGGGGTCATTTAACCGGTGGTCAACACATCCAACACATCCAACAACTCAGTCAATCTGTGAGCAAATGTATCGCACAGGACCTGTCGCTCCTGAGGCCACACATCCAATGGACACCAATGTCTCATCCGATGCCAGAGATGACAAAGTAATGCATTCTTTGTTTTTATAACTAATTGTTTATTGACTTTGATTTCACCCGAAATGACAGAAACGCCAAAAACCAGACCATAACTGAAGAACAATTGCTGTCAGATATGAGTGAAATGGACACCAAATTGGATCAATTGAAACGTGTCATCGAAGACGAAGCCATTCCTATAAATGATATGCATTTTGAGTCATTGAGCGATGAATGTAATGAACTGAAGACATCGCTTCCCACTTTCCGACGAGTGGTCAACACTTTTATTGATAAATACGAGAACCAATCGCGCGATGAAAGCATTTGTTTTGATCGAAAAGCCATTGAATTAGAAGAAGAAAAGGTGGAGAAAATGTTGAGATTGTCTCAACAAATACAACACTTCCAGCAAACAAACAAACATTTAAATTCATTTAATAACCAAAAGTGAAACTAATTATTAAATGTGTTTTATTTATAAATACTTTAATTAAACATATGATTGAAACTACAGAATAGTATGAAATATTGTCTAATTGTTAAACTAATTATCAAAACAATCATAAAATAAAGTATTTTTCAGAGAATCAAAACCTCTCAAAAGTGATGATTAGTTCGCAATGATTTGTTTGGGGGAAGAGATCGACGGGAACCGCATTTATTGGCACAAAAGGTGATCCCCACTGACGGTTACGTCTGTCTGATGGCGAGCACAGGTGTATGAAGTTCTTGAAGGCATATCCCTCTGGTTTACACGAAACAAATACAATCTTTCGGACGGATTTGAATTGTCGTAATATGTTGATTACACTCGGATGGAGACCAGCTCTGGTCGGATTGGCCACCACTACAATGTCCTGCGAATACAAGTCGTCCATCAGTTTTGGGAGTTGTTGTTCAACGGGTCCGGCGATGAACGACACGTTTTTGACGCCATTGAGGGCCGCGTTATTACACGCGTCACTGATAGCAGACTTGGATGAGTCGATTCCAATCACACGACAAACATATGGCGCTAAAACTGTGGCCAGAGTTCCGGTTCCGCAACAAATGTCCAGAACTGTTGTTTTTCTGGTGGCGTTCAGTTCGGAGATGACATTCCTATACAACACTTCTGCGGCACTCGTATTGATTTGAAAGAAAGAGTCGACTGATATCTCAAACGTTTTATCAAATAGTGTCTCAGTTATAGTTCGGTCACCGAAGAGATGCACAAACGGACACTTTTCATCACTGAGTCGCGTATGTCTGGACGCCTGAAAGTATAGCGAACTGATCCGTTCGTCGCCATCGAAGTACTCCTTCAATCGCGACATTTCTTTGTCCAGTTCTTGTTGAGTGAGATCTTGCGGATGCATAATAGCGGTCACCATATGGTGTCCCTCTGTATTGGACCTGATATGAAGGCGCCTCCAGTGTCCGCCCTCTCCATAGTTCTGACACGAATCGTATTGCGAAATGTCTTTCAAATAGTTTTGGAACTTCTGAGCGATGCTTAGATGTGACTCTCGACTGATGGTCATGTGATACGGCTCTACACAATACACGTCTTTGTGGACAGAGGGCTGACCGACAAAGAAGCCCACAGTCTTGCGGAAGCCGTCGACTCCCGGCCAGACACTGAACTCATCCTTATTTCTATAGCGTTGAGTCAATGGCGAGCCCTTCACTAACTCCAGAGGACACGGAAGACCCTTATTGTTGACCACAACGGCTGAGTTGACGGCTCGTAATCGTTGGCCAAACTGATGAAGAAGTTGGAAATTGTTGCGATACTTAATCGACAATTGTTTGTCGTATGGAATCAGATGTAAAGGCATTAGGATTTTGTTCAACACTTCAAACCTGTTCTCAACAGTGATGTGATAGGGATTAGCCATCAGTTCACGCATTGAGTGCCGGACTGAAGCCATTGGACACACAATTGAAGATCACTTTGAATTTACAAACTTTTAAAATTTAAATGCAGACAACGTTTGGCATCACATCTGATGTGAGAAGCCATTGATTGGTGACATCTGTTGTCTCAACACGTGTTGTGAATACAAGTGTCGAAAAAATGGCCAAAAATGCAAACATTGATTGCATTTCCATCTCATTAGTGAAGAATCCAAAGTGTCTTCTCTTCAGATATTATGACAAACAAAGTCTGAAGAACAAGAAAAGAGTGGTTCCCATCCGTCACCACAACATCACTCACGAGTCCATTGACACCATTTGCGACCAATTGATTGCCAAACATAAACCATATCTGGATTTAGTTTCACGCAATCATATCATCCATTTGTTGGCACTTTTGGTCAACAAAACTGACGACAACTTTACGGCCATTAATGTCAACAAAAGTGCCGAAGAATTGTCTTTCAATGAAGACGACGAAGAATTTGTTTTCTGAAACCGATTGTCTCCTACTCTTAGGCGAAGGAAACTTCAGTTTTGCTAAACATTTGAACGATTGTTATAATTGCAAAATAATAGCCACCGATGTGTCCGACGGACGCCTCACAGACCCCACAGTTGACACCAATTGTCAGCACTTGATCTCAAGCGGACAAGAAGTTTATTTCGGTGTCGACGCCACGAAACTGGAGGAATGTTGTCAATTAAAAGCACGCGAAGACATAAATCACATCATTTTTAATTTTCCACACGTTTTGAGTAAAAAAATGAAAATCGGTTTAAATCGGAAACTATTGAAACTATTCTTTGAAAGCGTTGACCAATTTATTGGCGATCGAAATGTAAAGATAATGATTAGCCTGTGTTCGGGTCAAAGCGGTATTAATGCCATCGAAAGCCAACACAGAGAGTGGTCTGATTCGTGGCAATTGCCAGAAATGGCCGCAAACGGCAACTTTGTTATCGTTGACTCCTTTAACTGTCCGTTTGATTATCAATTCTTCGGCTTTCGTTTAAGAAATATATCATTTAATACTCATTTTGCGAAAACATTTATTTTACAAAAGAGAGACAGTATTGATAGGAATTCTGGGAAATTATCACTAATTCTGTTAAATAATGAGAAGAATTTATTTTCTAATCATTTGATAACTCGAGTACTCAATGATTTGAAAGCAATATTTAGCGATTCCTTAGGCATCAAAAGTGAAGTGAATTCAGAGACAAATATCTATCCATTTGTTAATCATTTTATTATTTTGAGGACAGAATTAGACACTATTTCAAAACTAATGCTATATTTGAATGCAAAACACAATTACCATTTATGTGATGACAATATTATTGTTAACGATATTATAATCGGAAAATATAGTCATTCTTATGTCCGGTTGAGTGTCGAGAGATTGGCTCAACTCATGTGGAATATAAGTGATTCCAGAATTCTTTGGTCTCGATATCTATGTTTGGATAATACGAACAACGAATATAACACCGGAAGTCTGTTCCATAGGCAACACATCCACGACATCTCATTTTGGATTCACTCGAATTCATATTATTTACAATTAATTGAAACACTTTTGGATGTTTTTGGAACTCTTTTTAAATCAATTCAATTAATAGATAGCTATAAATGCAATCACAAGACATCCAAATGTTACCGAATAGTCTATGAATCCATTTGTTGTGCTTTAACTGAATCCAAATGCAATGAAATGCAAAGTAAAGTCAGAAAGATATTGTTACAAAAGTATAACTTTATTCTTCGCTAACTTGTATCACAAACTACTTCATAATATATTAAATAAAATGTAATTTATGTTTTAATTGATTGCGTTTAATATTAATTTAACATGATGGCAATATAAAATGTGGGTGCGATACAATCAAATGCTCTTGATAATGATTTTGATACTGAATATAATTAAATAATTCAAAAATTACATTCTTGTCAGTTGTATATACAATATTATTGTTAACGATATTATAATCGGAAAATATAGTCATTCTTATGTCCGGTTGAGTGTCGAGAGATTGGCTCAACTCATGTGGAATATAAGTGATTCCAGAATTCTTTGGTCTCGATATCTTTGTTTGGATAATACGAACAACGAATATAAAACCGGAAGTCTGTTCCATAGGCAACACATCCACGACATCTCATTTTGGATTCATTCCGATTCATATTATTTACAATTAATTGAAACACTTTTGGATGTTTTCGGAACTCTTTTTAAATCCATTCAATTAATAGATAGCTATAAATGCAATCACAAAACATCCAAATGTTACCGAATAGTCTATGAATCCATTTGTTGTGCTTTAACTGAATACAAATGCAATGAAATGCAAAGTAAAGTCAGAAAGATATTGTTACAAAAGTATAACTTTATTCTTCGCTAACTTGTATCACAAACTGCTTAATAGTATATTAAATAAAATGTAATTTATGTTTTAATTGATTGTGTTTAATATTAATTTAACATGATGGCAATATAAAATGTGGGTGCGATACAATCAAATGCTCTTGATAATGATTTTGATACTGAATATAATTAAATAATTCAAAAATTACATTCTTGTCAGTTGTATATGTTTAATATTAATTTAACATGATGGCAATATAAAATGTGGGTGCGATACAATCAAATGCTCTTGATAATGATTTTGATACTGAATATAATTAAATAATTCAAAAATTACATTCTTGTCAGTTGTATAATTTGATTGATATCTTCTACTATTCTAAAAATTCTATAAAAACTTTAGCCATTTGTATAATATATTGAATAAACCGTAAGCTTATATGTGTGGCCAGAAATAGGTTTCCACTCTTGGATTAATCTCCGGATAGTGTGTCAGAATTGAAAGGACACGACAACCCTTATACTGAGCATACAGTCAAGTCATACGTAATGTGACATCAAATGCTGTGATCGATGCCAATTCAACACTACCCGTTACCACACACTGTCTGCCAATTCTGTGCCCTCCACTCATATATGCTTACAATTACACTCATTGTATGTTATGTTAAACAGATTATACTCTATTCACTTAATATCTGGAAATATGTTAAAGATATCATTATTAATTGCATATATTCCGTTGGTAATTATTAAAAAATTAATTTTTAGTTTTTTTATTGATACTGAATTTATAATTCTTATTATTAAATACTGAAATAACAATATATTACTCAAACGGGAAATAATACATTTGATATAAATTATATCATATAATACAAAGTTAAAGCAAAAGTAAAACTAAAGAATACAGAATACATGGATATTCTATAACACAGAATCTACACTGTTTTAATGTATTTAACATAATATTGTTGTTTGAATGAATGTTGTTTTTTAATAAAGATCTTTGATTACTACAGATTATGATATGTAAATGTTATACATGCTTTTAATATAATTTAAAGTATTTAATAACTGAGTATTATAATATAAAACCTACTTAAGTAAGTAAATGTAATATAACTACAATAATATTGTATTATAACAGTAATTTAAATGAATTAACACTGTATTATCGATAATAATCAATTACTATTATTAGAATAATGTACTGTAAATGTATATAAAGTTTACTTTACTTTACATTATAATATACAGTTAAACATCTAAAATACAGAGAAGAATCTGTTGCTAAGCTAAAGTATTTTAAACATTATACCACAAGAACCATTTTAATAAGTTATCATTTTAAAAGTAGAATAGTTATGTTACATTATTACCCGCTGTGTTAGCTTTGATATTAAAAAACCTTTTCGTTGATTTTGACATTAAAACTCAATTCTCTAAGTATTAATACTCATTTCTTAAAGTATTAATTATGTATTCAGTGTTATTCTATAATAAATTGCATTAAATTTTAACTATATTAATTATATCTAGATTTACATTATAATTAAAAACATAAAAATATAATTTGGCAATTTAAGACAATCATCAAACAAGTGCATTAAATATAACAGAATTAGAGTTGCCCAAATATCTCGTTATTCCAAAATGCTAAACAAAGCTCTCTCTCTCTCTCTCTCTCTCTCTCAGATGAGTGTCTTTTATAACATTGATCTCAATATCAATATAATATATCGCATAAAATGCGAGCCCTTTTGAACGCATCGTATGTAGCGTTATATGCATTACAATAGGGTTTTGTCGGCTGTAATAATAATACACTCATTAAATATACAACACATTCACACGAATTGATAGATAAAATAAAACGCTAGACTAAGGAAACTATTTTCTCTCTCTCTCTCTCTCTCTCTCTCTCTCTCTCTCCTTTTCTTCTGTCTATGGGATTACAATTATAAATTTAATGCACACATAATTTGGACAAAATTTTGTGCAAACAATAATTGTCAACTTTAAATAAGTGGTTAACTATAAACACAATATAAAATACTAATGTTTATAGAATATACCATTTGGTATCAACTATAAGCAATTATTCTGTAATATTATTCATATGGTTTTGCTTGAAATAACTTATTTTTCGTTATTGAATGTGAGATTAAAATAAAATATATGACAGTTTGAGCCCAGTATTAATATCAATCAATGATATATTGTTTAAATTAATTGTTTATTTTATTTATATATAAATGAAATATTATATATTATTGATTACTGAATATAACAGAATAAAGATTTATTATATAAAATAATGGCACTTATATTGGCCTTCAATTCTAGAATAGAAAGTCTTTGAAAAACGACGCTATGGTTACAGACTTAGAGCTACTATTCATTCAATGAATAGCATTCACTGCATCCACACTATAAGAGTAGACGTTTCCAAATACCCGATAGAGATCTCAATCATATAGAAATGGAGACAGAATTTAATTGTCAACAATTTTTTTCATTTATTTGTATAATTGCATTATTTACATATCTTGTGATTCACTGTAAATCATTGGAAAAATAAAAATGTCAGTTTAACAAAACCTCCAAGCTATTTTACAATTACTTTAGTAGCAAAATCACTTTTTATTTATGACAACGCCTCGACTTATGAATTTTGTATAAATTATTAAACGATTAAAAATAACTGTAAAAATATTCCTTACAATAATTTCCTCATAATATTTATAGATTTACTATTAAATAACCACAAGAAGTAACGCATAAATATAATTAAAGAATTCTTTAAAACCTTGTTTTTACTGGTTTTTAGTGTAAATAAAATATTTAAATAAATATTCAATAAACTATTTGAAATAATTTGCAATAAATTTTTATGTTTATTACTAATATAAATCATAGATTATTAATTTGTCTATTGTGTTCTATGTCAAATTATATTTAATTAAATGCAATAATATTTTTAAATACTAATAAAAATTCAGTTAATTTGAAAACAAATAAATTGTCGATTAATAGTGTTTATGACATTAAAAGCGTAATAATATTTGGGTATAAAATTAGGAAATAATTTGAAGAATAAGTGTAGAAAATGTTGAAAAAGGTCGGTCTGTGTGCAGCCCCTGTAGCCCTGTCCCCATTGACTTACCATATGTTCTACTTTTTTTTGTGCATAAGTAGTCTTATAATCTATAGACTAATATCCAAAAATCATTGCCATTATAAAACATTAGATGATTTACTGATAATTAGAAGTTTTACCACAAAAGACATTATAAGATAACCGAAAAAAGACATAAAAATGAAGAACAGATATAACTGTAAACCATTTGAAGTCAATACAGACCTCTAAATAGAGAATTATATTCTTGTGTTAAGTATAGATTAGCATTCATTCACATCACTCGCACACGCATTCAGTCTCTCTCTGGCAACACATAACTCAGTGCTTTTCGCACTAAACTTTTCTTTCAAATTTTTAGTTTAAAAATAATATTAGAAACTAAATGTTAATTCACTATTAAATTTAAAAGCCGTTCTCTTATAGATTTTCTGTTTTTTTCATTATATAATTTAGTTTTCCAGACAAACATATTATTTATATAAAAATTATAAAATATTTGTGATAATATATAAATATAAAAATCAAAAACCGATTCTAAGTTTAATTAATTGAGTGAAATTATTTCCAAACAAGTTCTTAGATTTAATTGTATTAATTGAGCTCAAAGTTGGATCACAAGAAGAAAATACTAATAAATTATCCAAAGTTTTAGCTTAATTGGTGACGGAATCGCCCCCACAATCGCTCATTCATTAAAGACATTCAGCTCTGTATTCAAGGCTCTCTACAATATATATATTGCAATATTCAAAGCCTTCAACTCTTTTTCTCAATTTCTTCCGAAATATTGCTTCAAAAATATTTCGACTTTCTCTCAAATTCTTCGTTCAAAAATAACTCAAGCATTACATCCATTGAACCATTGGTGCAAAAATGGTTAACATTTGTGAAAATGGAAAATTAATGGCAAATACGGCTAATAATGGAAAGCAGATCGTCATCAAGCAATCCAACGGCAATTGTCCCGAAACTAACAGTAAAAGCAACAAAACTGATGACATGAAGAGCGCAACGAGTGGTCGCAAGTCGACCACAATCGATGAATTTAATATTCATACCTATGCTATAGTGATAGCGAGCGCCACAATCAATGGCACCATTTTCGGTGTAGTCAACAGTTTTGGTGTCCTTTATGTCTATTTGTTAGAGATGTTCAAAACTCAACAAAAAGTCCAATTCCTCGAACCATTAATAGGTATTGTTTTATATTTATGCTTTTTATCATCATTTTCCTATTATTAATGCATGCTTTTTATTAATAATTTCACAATTTTATAATTAGTAAGAATTTAATGTGTATATTAAAGATGTTATTAATTTATAATTATTTATTAGATTAGAGGCCAGAGGTCGGATTTTAATCTTAAATTTTTCTTAATTTATGTTCAGAGTCTTTGAGTGATAAAGTATATATTAATTAGTGTCCAAAGAATTATCTCTAATTTAAAAACTCAATTAATTAACTCTTGATTATTTTGAAACTTTATTTTGGACTCGAGATAAGCATTTCATCTTCAGTTCAAAATACTCTTTATTTCTTGTCTTGATTTTGATTAACCATTTTATAAAACATTAAAGTTCAGTGTTTTGCATAAGAATTGGAAAAAATTCAAATTAATTCAAAACAACGAAAGTCTTTAAATAATCACATGAAGTCAAAGTGACTCCAATTAAAATAAACTTAAATTCGTCCACAAATTGAATTAACACTAATATTTATAAATATTAATGACATATAAGAATATAAAACAGTTTTTTTAAATTGTTATCTCAAGGATAACATTCATTCAATAATTAGTTTATCAAATATTTTCCAAACCAAACATATATTCCACTCAAAAATGATTTAATCCGCGACTAATTTATAACATATTGTATTTTCATTAATCAATTCATGAGTTATAATTTCATTGTAATCGAGAATTCTGTCAAAACATGTTTAGCATTAATTTATCAAATATTTCTATTATATAATTATTTATTAATATTTCTTTATTAAAAAGTCTTTAGTAATAGTCTGGAAATCAAATTTACAGAATTTAATTAATAATTGATTTGAAAATATAAATTCCTTGTTATCTGTCGTTTAAAACATCCAAAAATAAATGTGTTTTTGTTATTCAGAGATGAGTTTTGAAAAACATTATACAGTAGTAGAAAATAAATGGCAATTTTGGACAAATGAATTGCCATCCAATGAACTCCAATTCTTTTATTTCCTTTGAATTTATATTTTTGAAAGTTTGCCATAAATTGTTAGGTCTTAAGAATACTGTTTGTTAATATAATTTTTAGTTTAGAAATGTTTTGAATGTCATCAACACTAAACAGTGTTTTCCACACTTTCTTGAGAATGCCTTAAATATAATTGAATCACAATTACATAAAAAATGAATGTATTGTTTGATTTGAATTGATGACAGAAATGACAAAAATAATTTCTTAATATTAAAATCTATAGTAAATGTCTGGTATAGGAATTTAGAAGTACTGTCAACGCGTGTCTTCACTGCTTTATCAGAGTGTCTAATAATCAATAAATTAGACGCTAAGCATAGCATATAATTAGATAAGATATTTCACAATTTCAATCGATACCAAACACTACTTATACCGCTTTCCCAACCATTTATCAGACCCCAGACTGCACTAACCGGTGATGCAATTACTGCAGACAATTACCACAATACGATATTTTGTAATCTAGGGTTGTCCCTGATGTAACTTACATATCTTACAAACGTAATTTAAGTAAATTACAACCATATTTGAATCTTGCATGTAACTTACAAAAAGTTATTGTTATTTTGCGTAAATTGCTTAAATTAAGATAATAATTAGTAATTCTGAACGATTATAACAATTTTGAAGATATTATAAATATTTTACCACATTAGATGTAATTAATCGTTACTTAATAGCTAATTAGCATGTATGTTTATGTATTAATCGTTTATTTAAAAATTGAATTTTAAGGAATCTCACAGTAATTTACATAACCATAAGTTATTACGCGTAATGTAAGATTAAAATGTAAAATACCATCCCTAATCATATCATACATTACATTATAAACATCAATTGTTGCAATACTTTTACAGATTCATAGTTTTTATCGACAATTAATGGATAATTTCTTTGATAATCATCTTAAATGTCAAAGACTTAACAAATTATTAACAAATGAATAATGAATTGAAGCATAAAATAGCGTTTTGTTTGACTATTTATAGAGAGATAGCGATTAAGAATAGATGTCTAAAACTGATTGTATGACTAATATTTGTATTCACTTCTAGCGGGTGTCGGCTCCCTATGCGTCGGTCTTATCTTCTTTTGCTCTATATTTGCGTCAATATTGACCGACAGATTCGGTATTCAACGCGTTTGCTTTGTCGGCGGCCTTTTGGCCACTATAGGCATGTATACGAGCTCTCTGTCCACAAGTTTATCGCATTTATACCTAACCTATGGGGTTATACTTGGATTGGGATCATCGCTAGTCTACGCGCCGTCACTCGTTATTTTAGGCCATTATTTCAAAAGACGTTTAGGTTTAGTGAATGGTTTAGTGACTGCTGGAAGTGCTGTCTTCACAGTAATTATGCCTATTTTACTTAAAATGCTGATCGAAAGCAAAGGCATCCAAAGCACTCTGGAATACCTATCGCTACTGATGTCAACGCTGATGGTGTGTGCGCTCACATTCAAGGAGAACAGCTCTTTCAAAAGCAAAGTCTGCGGCAATGGAGACATTGAAAAATCAAACATTAAAAGTGTGTCCAGACGTGTGGTCAACAGTTCTCTGTACAAAAACAAATTGTATTTGTTGTGGTCGACAACAATCCTGTTGTCATTGTTTGGATACTTTGTTCCGTTCTTTCATTTGGTAAAACACGCAAATGATGTCAACTCGGAATTCAACGGCGAAATACTGGTCACATGTATCGGTGCCTTCTCTTGTTTAGGTCGCTTCATAACGGGACCCATTGCCGACATTTCTGGCATCAATCGCGTTGTCTTACAACAGATAGCTTTCATGTCAATTGGTTTACTGACTATTCTTATAACAGTTGCCAATAGTTTTGGCCTATTATTGATATGCTGTGGTTTGGGACTGTTTGACGGGTGTTTCATAACACTTCTCGGACCCATTGCTTTCGATTTAGTTGGACCCGAAAATGCGAGTCAAGCCATTGGCCTATTGCTGTGCTTCTGTTCATTGCCACTGACAGTGGGCCCACCCATCGCTGGTATATCACTATATAAATGCCTCAACATTTAATATGAATTAATCAATTGTTTTTATCATTTCCAGCCTATATATACGATATCAAAGGCAATTATACGCTGGCGTTTGGATTGGCGGGCATTCCTCCACTCGTTGGCGCTTTCCTTATGTTTTTCATAATTCGATTTCAAAGACAAGTTAATAAAAAAGTCAAACATTCGTACGAAGAAACCAATGGATTCAAGAATACTAATGGAGTTAAACAGTCAAACAATGAATTGTGTGCATCACTAGTCAATAATGATATATAAAAACAAATTATAATTAACTAATAATTGACACAACATTTGAATCCGATATATAAGTCGCTGTAAATATATGTTAAGAAACAAATTTTCAAAACGCTGTTAAGTGCCATAAAATTAATTAAAAAATTATTTTTAATGAATTACTTATTAAAAGATTTCATAAATCCAAATAAACTAAACACAAAAAAATAAATAAAAATTATTTTATACAAAGCAATCCTTGAATTTCGATAACAAATGTTTCAAAGCGGCGCTTAAAGGCCGCCCTATGGACTCGGGCTCCGTCTAGAGATAAGCCTTCCATAAGCTTCTCGAACGCCGTTTGCAATTGTTTTTGAACCGATTCTTCTTTAGACGAGCTGATGATCTGTTGCGCTAATTCTTGATATCTGGATGGAAAGCAACAGATCAACGAGAAGAGAGCGTTGGCCACACTCTCTCTCATCGTCACGTCATTACTGGTTCCGCACTCGAAAAGTGTGAACTCAAATATAAGCCGAAGAAATGGTTCCACGAGTTGTACTAATGTAACGAATTTGTTCGGTTCGCGCATCGCATGAGTTCCCAAAACCGATATTATTGTCAAGCAATTGCTCTTCACTTCATTGCCAAACCTATTATGCAATTAAAGTATAAAAATAAAATATTTTGTAAACATTTCCCAGAAATTAACATTTTTCATATCAATGTAAACATTTTAAGTGGAATCTAATCACCGATAACTTTAGGGCTTTTAATAGTTTATATAATTTTTAATGTAAACTCTTGTGTCCTCTTTAGATAACTATTGCCCATCGCTTATGTATAGACAACTCGAGTATAGATTTACTTTATTTAGACCTAAAATATCCTAAACTTTCGCAAAAAAAATCAATTTATAGAAAATCATATGAAAAGATAAAATCATAAGTTTGTAAATAAATTGTTATATAAATATCAATGTTATGTGATATCAATGATATAATTGTTGTGTGAAATGCTTGTGTTGAGTATAACATAAGAGTCGTTAACTTACGTAGACTTGAGAGCGAGTTGAACGCTCTGTACGATCGATTGGAGCAGAGGGTCCGGCAGTCCATGAAGTCGTTCGGGATCTTCGCACAGAAATACAATCAATTTATAATAGCTTTGACACAATTTGGGAAACTCTAGTAATGGGGCGCCGATTAAAGGCATTATTATGTTTAGGCCAACAAAAACCACTTGAGTTGCGCTTATGTTGGAATTCTGATCGCCTCTCGAGTCGTGAAACCATTCAATAAAGTCTTTTGCGGCCAAATCGTTGAGAAAATTGAGAATAACCAGAATATCATTGCAGGTCTCCTCGTCGTCAATGCCTTCGCGTACACAACGATTGCAATTGTGTTTCGCGTATTCATTGAGTATAGAAATGGATGTGTTATAGAAAGTGATGATATCATTGTCTGAGAGATAGCATAGAATTCTATTTGTCAATTGAGCCAAAAGATTAAGAACCGCCACAACTATTGAATTGTAATTATGAAGAAATGATAGAATCTTTGGTAAGTCATGAAAAATGGGTGCAATAAAGTTGGGCCAAACGCTGCTTATATTGACAGCTGTTGTGCCGCAAGCGATGCCTTCGAGACACTCGTACAGCTCAACGATAGCGGCTCTCAACGGTTCGCCAGTGTCTCGCTCTTCGATTGAGGCCCTGATCTTAGTGTATCTGTCCATCAATGGCTGAAACAATTGGTCGTATAGTTCATGATTGTAAGTCACGATATGAACCAATACTTGGTATATGTTTTTGCGAGTATTGATCGATAAATTCTGCAACTCGTTGGCCGAGTGTTTGTTTAACAACTTATTCATATTCGCACAATTGTTCAATGCTTTGCACCTTTCGATGCAATTCTTGACGAAATGGACTAAAGCGAGTGACGATTCTTCGGTCACTTGAGTCTCACTCGACCAGAAGACCAGTTTAGTGATGATGTGGTCGACAATGAGATTGAGAACACCGTTAGCAACAGGAGAGTCGCGACCAAAGCAAGAATTGAGTGCAATACTCATCTCCGGGTAGTCGTTCTCATTTGGCAACAAATATATTATTAAAAATCGTGATATAAATAGCGTGAGTGAGAGTGAGACTTGTGGGCTAACCCATTGGCTGCCATTATTTTCGCACAAATACTTTTCCATATGACATAATTTTAATAAAATGGTAATTATTCTAACGATAGGGTCGGTAGCGGCCGATGAAAATGGGTCTAAATTTTGCACTGATTGTACGGTTTGATTCAAATCTGATTGAAAAGCGATCGAAAGTGACATCAATTGCGAGGGAATCAGTTCTCGTTCGCCATAATAAACATAATTGGTTTGAGTCAACAAATTAGATGTAATTAAGACCAACCAATGAAGATCTTCGCTTAAAGCTATCCATTCATTAGTCTTCTCCTGTGACTGACTGTCGCGTCGAAGACATGTCTCGAATTGATTGACTCGAAGAGACAGAATGTGAGTCAAACAATTGACCGCATGGTTGCTATCGATGCGAGCAATACATCCGATGGCATTCAACTGATCGCCATATAAAATAATATCGTTGTCTTCAAACTCCTGAATGTCGTCTTCAATCTCAGTGGCGGGTTGTCTTAAGCCCTCGGGTTGGCTCAGATGTATTCTGACGAACGCTTCAAATATGGGTCGCGTCCACACCGCCAGAGCTTCCAATTTGATCACATCGTGTCTGTTGTTTGTATTATTGGTATCGCTTTCTTCGCGTTTGTTGGCTCTCTCTATGATTGAGATGACAGACATCCACGAGTTCAACAGATTGTCAATCGACAGCTTATAGCGGTCGAAGTCTTCCTCGTCTTTGATATTAAGCGAATCAAAGATTATTTTACACGTGATTTGAGCCAACATTTCGAGGAATGTCTTCAGTAATTCAAATTCAACAAAATTAATTTGATCTCTCGATTGAAGGCGAACACAGATTCGGTTGATTACAGTAGTTATGGGAACCACTTCTGCGATAGTGATTGTGTCGCAAATCTGGTTCACTAAACCAATAGTACCCGTAATTATAGTCTTTAGAAATTTACTCCTATTTTCGGCGTTTATAATAATGGGTCCGTTGAGTGAAGACAACTGATTAATGCATTGCAATGAATAGTGAAATAGTTTCTCATCATTCGCTGTGCGAAGACATAAATGCATTTCCATGAATATGGAGATGACATCGCCGTCGAGCAGCACTTCCTTCCAGTCGATGGCCGGTTGGAGGACAGGGTTCTCAATAGAGTCCACGTGTTTTGCGTATTGCGAGGAGAAGATTGTGATCACATCGAAATTCCACGACAGAATGAAGTCACAGATTCGCAACAACTTTGTGGCCAATTGTGTCCACTCAGGGCCCCGACTCTCCGCGTCCGAGATTCTTAGGTGAGTCACTAGTGTTGAGACAACGCATCGGAATATACTCTTGAGGTGTGTGTTCTCGAACTTCTTCTTCGCCCTGAGATGTGTGGCCCACGAGAGGCCAAAGTCGGACGCTCTCGTCGACGACGAGTACTCGTTCAGTATTGAGAGCACTGAAGTGCAGCAAACCATCCGTGAGTTGTGACCACTGGATCCGTTGGACACCGTTTCGTAGAGAAATGTGAGAATTTGTGTCAACGATTGGGAATCATTTCCCTCATCGATGGCAATGCGCTTCACTATTATAGCGCACACCAGAAGAAGCTGTTCGCAGACATAGGCCTCCAATTGACGGCTATTCACGTATTGATTCAAATACTTGAGGAGTATCTTGCGTTGGTCTTCGCTGAGACAGTTCCAGTCTCTGATGACACCATTCTTGAGACAACAGCCGGTCTGGAACTGAACGAACGCCACTCCACTCGACTCCAGGATATCTCGACACAAATCAAACGGACATTTAGTCTTCTGGAACTCAATGAACACCTGTTGGGCGCCATTCCTCTGGTCTTGAGATACGCACTCCGGAGGAGCCTATCATCGGATGGAAACACTCTTTAGGTGACCATTCATGACATGACAACACAATACATACCAAAAGCATTTGAGCGCAACTTTCCAACTGTTTGACGATATTATCATTCATTTCAAAGCCTTCTCTCACTTCTCAACCGATTCTCTAAATTATTAAACTATTTCTTAACCAATAATTACAATAAAAACCATTATTTAATGTATTATTAAATAAATTAAAATTTATAAATAAAACTCAAAACCAATTGAAACGACAGAATAGTCACAAAATACATAACAACAAAAGTGAGGGGAAGGGGGCTATGGCTTAGCAATACATTTCACACAACATTTTGCATGTGCAGTTATGCCAATGTAACGCTGTCTATGAATGGCCCAAAACTATTTTTCTCTATTGATTGCCGGTGGGGTTTGGCTTTAATGCTCCCCTCTTTGCCCCTTTAAAGTGTACATTAGGTTATAGTTAACAGTAATCATCAATTAATTACACTATTATATCTGTAATTAACTATTAATAAAACATTGGTTAAATTGTCAAAATGACCAGTTTACCATGCTTATTCAGTTTACATTACAGTTATCTGCTTCATCGTTGTAAATAAGCATAATATAAAATAATAGTTTCATTAATTCATTGGCATTGATGACCACTTTGAGAGTGAGTCCGACTTCACCCGAATCTCTCATTATTAAGCAATTAATTCAAGCAAACATTATTCAACATTACATTTAATTTAAAAATTTATACTAAATGTTTCAAAAATGTGAAATATTCTTATATTAATTAGTTTGATGCTAAAGATAGTTGATCTTAAGCTTTGATTAGCTAACGTAAAATATAGATTAACTGTAACGTAAACGTAATTTGGGCATTTAAACATTTTAAAATTTAAATATATAATAACCACAAATAAAATTCATTTTCTAAATGCATACATCTTCTCGAAAATGGTGTAAATGAATAAAATACCAAATTGTCATATTACTGTATATAATTTATACATTACTGTTACGATAACCAATATGATTTGAACTTTATTTTAAAAATAACTTTTCATATTTTTAATTTAATTATCAAATACTTCATGTGATATACTGTTCACAAACCCCTATAATTTACGCCCAGATCTTGACAAATGCTATTAGAGTTGCAGTTTTTGTTGCTTTATATAATCAAATGTTTGCCAATAGAGGAGAGAGAGAAAAAGAAAGAAAGGAGAGAGCGAGAGGGAGGGAGAAAGGAGAGAGAGAGAGAGAGAGAGAGAGAGAGAGAGAGAGACTTTTAAAAGCATAAAACCTTTAAAAGAGATTAATATTAATTCACATCTCATGATATTTCGCACACATTTTACTCTTGTCGTTGAGTTTATTTATAAAAATATTTTCTCTCTTTCTTCATTCTCGCCATATCTCTGACCCAAACATCGAGTTTAGTGTTAATCCGAGAAATTTTTTGAATAAATCACTTCAACACTTAAGCATTTGGAAAGTCCTATAATAATAATCCCTCAAAAAGTCGTTTCCCGTTGAATATTATACATAGAATTTCAAATGAGTCCAGAATTAAAAGCTAAAAGCATTGCAAATGAATCGGATTTTGTTAAAAATTAACAAAATTAGCAAATAATTTATTAATGAAAGTGACATTTATTTCATATTAATTGAGATGAAGCGAAACATTCATCTCCAGTGCCTAAACACACGCGGAATTGTATAAATCTTTTTTGACTTAATTATAATTACATAGATTTGAATTTATAGCAAGAATTGCATACAATTTATACATACAGTATATTTAGTATCATTTATAATAGAGAAAAGTTTTGATTTGTTTTTCACTATAAAAGCGATTTATATATAGAGAGATGGAGAAAGAATAGAGTTATGATTTATAAATCAATTTCTTGTACTAAATGTAAAAAAAATCAATAAAAACTCATAAAAGGATAAAAATTCAAAATGAAATGTAATGTAGAAAATGAATTGTAAAAATAATTTCACCGCTCGCTATAGAGAAGGAGTATTTCAATTATTTATTTTTTTCTTTACATTCAGTGAATTATTTATATTCAAACAAATATATCTATACTTTAATATACTCGCAATTCTATGCGAATTTTTATTCACAGAAATAAAATTGTTTACAGAATTTATGCAGAATTTGGCGGAAAGAAAATTTTAATAAGGCTGCATGCTTCAAATTGAATTTATCATGTAGGTGTTTATGCAAAATACTTGTATAACATGTTATAAATATTATAATTTAATTAATAAAATAAAATAAAATATCAGTCACCGATTATATGACTTACAAGTAATCATTTGAAATTATATTTTAATTTATTCTTAATTAAAAATATATGACATTATCTAAATCTGTAGTTTATTTTAAAACACCATAAATTAAAACATTAATAGGAAATTGTAAAGACATTTATATAATAAGCAATTTCTAGAGAGATTTCAACAGAATTTAAGTATAAATTGTATAATTAAAAAATTATTGTTGGGTTTAATGTCTTTAATCACAAATATTTATTATAATTTTATTCACCGCTTATATGAATGATACGCTTTCTCTTGTAATTAAACTAAACATTTCGCGATTTAAAATAGACATTAATCTAACGCTTTTATTATATGCTATTCAATCGATTTGTATTGCATTGTATTGTAGAATATTCTGTATATTCTGTGTATATATAAAATCTAATGTTGTTATCGTTTTATGGCATTTATTATAAACATACAACGCGTGTGAATTAGATGTGCATTTTGTGTGTAATGTTCGCACAGAATATACAGTATACTTATGTATGTGTTGTTTTGTATTCAGTGATTAATTAATTATAATTAACTAAAACATTAAACTAAATACACGACAGAATATATATTGTATATATTGCAAGCAAATCACATACAAATGCAAACATAGTTAACATTGCGGTTCACAGCAATGAATGCAAAAACAAATACATCACTTAATCGATGGTATCGTGTGATTGGTATTTGTGAAGTGATAAAACAACTAAAAAAGTCTCGTCCAATATATTTAATTGACACCGGGATGAAAATTGTTTGAGTCAATACTCTGTGACACTTCTCTCATTACATATACTGTACTTTATATAACATTTATTTTTAGTTTTTGATTAAATTTCTTACGCAACAAATTAAATATAAGACGAGGGAAATGTCTGAAAATTTTGCTTTAATATACAGACAAACCATAATATAGTTGAGAGAGAGAGAGAGAGAGAGAGAGAGAGTATTGTTTAAATAAGTCATATATAAGTGAAAGGGTCTGAAGAATCAACAAAAAGAAAGAATAGGAGAAGAAGTGAATTATATTTGTGTTAATTTAAGATATTATTGATATCTTCACTGACATTGTATTGGCGCAGACTTTATGGCGTTTAGTACATAGTTTTTGGCCATAAAAGCCAATGCAATGGCAATGAGAGGGTTATATAGATATACCGAAAGAGATGGTCTGTTGTATTGATTTTCAGTTGTAGTTAAATGTATTCCTCATGTATTAAAACACATACAACGCTATGGGCTATACTTAGGAGACTCACTAACTATTTTTTATTGACTAAATATCATTTCTCTCACTGAATATTAGCTATTATTGTGTTAAATGGATGAGAGAGAGAGAGAGAGAGAGAAAGAGAAATCACATAATCATTACTGTCTTATGAATAATTCCCAATCATATGACAGATATTAATGCATTTGATTATATAAATGCATAGAAATTTTGTATAAATTTTGTATTCATTTGTGCTCTCTTTTCTATCTTTTGTAAAATTAATTTCATTTATATTTTGCTGGAAATGAATAAAGTGTTCACTTTATAGTTGGCTTCACATCTGGAAAATATTTGTGAATAAAATTTGTTTTTTATGTCTTTGGCTTTCTCATCTCTCTCTCTCTCTCTCTCTCTCATCCATTTAACACAATACTAGCTAATATTCAGTGAGAGAAATGATATTTAGTCAATAAAAAATAGTTAGTGAGTCTCCTAAGTTCTCTCTCTCTCTCTCTCTCTCTCTCTCTCTCACTCACTCACTCTAACAAATCGATTCGTATTTCCCATTTGTGCCAATCATTAATTCTGTTTGATTTTCTTCTTGCTCTCACTCTCTCTCAAACCCCTCATAACATACATAACAATAGACACAACGCTTGGAATAATATATTTCACTTAAGAATATTCTCTCTTAAGAATATTACTAACGTTTCAATTGTTATATTATATTAACTCTCTTTAAATGCAAAACATTTGTTCGTTTCAATTGTTTTTCAATGCGAGGGATCAGTCGTTCAGTCGTTTTGAACAGTTTATGTATTTTGTATTTTATTTATTTTTTATGATTTTAATGCATAGAAATGGGTTATCATATAACGAGTGAATCGATTATTGGATACAATTTTAACTGACAGATAGACTCATAGACTCTAAATAAAAGCCATTTCTAAACCTTTTTGGAGAAAAATAAGAGAGAGTTGATGATATGTGCAAAATGTTATGTTATCATGTTTTATCAAATCAACCTCTCTCTCTCTCTCTCTCTCTCTCTCTCTCTCTCTCTCTCTCTCTCTCTATTGTTGTCAAATTCTTGAGCTCTGATCTCGAGTTCACAAGTAATATTTTATTTGTATAGAAATACTTATATAACGTTTTCTTTACATTTGAAATCAAAAACACCACTATTTTGATGACTTTCTTTCACATACAGCAGANAGAGAGAGAGAGAGAGAGAGAGAGAGAGAGAGCGAGAGAGAGAGAGAGCGAGAGAGAGAGAGAGAGAGTCGATAAAAGAGCAGAGAATAGCAAAGAGGTATGACATCCAGTCTATCATTGCATTCACACACGAAGTGAACAAATACTGGAGACGACTGACTATTCATATTGTTATACACAGAGTATTGTCGCCAAAAATCAGTGCATATATTTAGATTTGAAGAGCCCTTCAGTCGCAAATAATATGCAATATTTGCGATTAAAATTTAACCCATCAATGGATACCGAAAATAAGATGTTATTTTATGGATAACTCGTTATATAAAATGTATATTTTTAGTCGCAATCTCTTGTGACAAATAGACAATTTCTAGACATTTAATGTTTATTTTGCAAACTTTTAATGTGTTTTTTGTTGCAAATGTGTTTCT